GCATCCTCATGCAGTTGCAGTACACGCAGCAGGCAGCAACAGCTGCAGCAAAGGCAGCTGAGTGGGACAGGCAACAGCTGGAGCCCATGGAGGTTCCTCCACAGACCTTGGATGTAGAGAGATGGAGGAAGGGGATGAGTAGAGACAAAGAGCCGAGTGCATGAGATGCAAAAACACTGAAGTTTGCAAATTTTGAGTTTTTCTAGACAACCTCGTAAAACCCTAAAGCTCGCAAATTAATTAATGAATTATTTTGGCGCCTCGTAATAAATCGGCGTCGTAATGCATTGGTGTCGCTACGGTATATATATGTGAGTCTAGTTTATTCATCTGCATCCCACCTCTGTCATCTTTGTATCACTTAGCTTATGATTATGAAGAGTAGATCCATCGTCCCAAGGCAGACCTCATGCTCATGTGCAAAGTGTTGGGCCCATCTGTTTTTGCTGTTGTGCTTTATCCTCCCTTGTGCGGAGCCTAAGGTAAGGCACCAAAATGAAGTGTTTTCATACATGCTATCTCATACATCTGTGGAAGGGTTTGAATGGATATTTTTATGTCTTGCATGAACATTCACATGTGCATGTGCATGCGTGTGTGGGTGGGTGTATGGGTGGTGGGTGATTTGTGTGGGCAAAGGTTCTGTGGGCACTTGATTGTGCATAAACATGTGTATGACATCACAGCCTCTGTCTGGGGTGCATAAGTGGTGTGTAAGTGAAAAAAAAATGTGTTTCTTCACAAGGGGTGCGCACTGACTATATGCACTAGAGAGAGGGAACAGCATGTTGTGGAGCATAACTCGAAAAAGGCTTGCTTGCCCTCATAGCATATGTTTCACACTGTCTTGCGCGCACTGCACAAGGCGTTTTGAGAGGAGCTTCTCTGATGCACTCTTGAATGGCCTCCCTCAGTATCGCTTACTCACGCTCTTTCTGTATGCCCTGGTTTGCAACTTACCCACAGCATGAGGCACAACGAGAGAGCATCCTGAAGCAGTCAATCTTCTCCAGCCCCCACCGGATAGATTCCAAGCATAACTCCAGCAGCGCAGCAGCAGGCGGAAGGGGCAGCAATAGCAGTAGCAGTGGTAGCAGGAGTGGGCAGTTGTTAGCTGGTAGAGGTGGCAGTGGGCAGCGGGGTGGTAGTGGTATCGGGGGCGGGTCTTCGTTACAGCAGAGGGCAGCAAAGCTCGCACGCCTGCAAGGGCGTGTGTGAAAGGAGGTCGAACAGATAAATTGTACAGTGTATACATGACTGGCAATTTGGACATACACATGATGGGTCGGTCCTGAATTTGTTTCAGCCGCATTTTGTTTGCATGGCAGTGTTGATTAAATCTTGTACCCTTGTACACTTACACATTCTTTGCGTCCTTTGAGAACGATTGCTTGGCTCCATTGTGGTAGGTTGCGCTTTTTAAAGGCACTTGTTTCAAAAGCGTTTTCCAGTAAACGATGAAAACACTCGAGAGTCTGCACTCCTCGTGTTGAGGGCTTATATCCCCTTCAATAAAGAGAAGGGGCCCTCATGGCTCAGTCCTGTATGGAAATTGGGTTTGTCGCAAGAGTGGCACACCACCCCTAATTGCTCTTTCTGTTCCGATTCTCTTCTTTTGTGAAGATTGTGGATGCTACAGGCCTTCTCACATTTCCTTCGTACCTTTATGGAGTGTCCGTCCCATGTATAATCACCCTGTTGCGCCCTCCATTTCTGAGGAATACTTCCACATATCAGTCCAATGAAACAGGGCTGCATTTGGCGCATTTGGATGTAGTGCTGTTCGCATGGAGGAAAAAAATTTGGCATGTTACTGTTCTAACTAGGAGCTCACTGAAAGACCTATGCAGCCAACTCCATTAGAAGAAACGGGCAGTTGGATGCTTTGAGCAAAACTCTCGACACCCAGGCCTTTTGGTGTGGGTTCGATGTAAGCCCACAAGGGGTTTGGCAATGGAATGAGCAGCAGGCTTTGTCCCATGGAGTGGAACCTCTGTGCATGTCTGCCACCTGGGAAAAAGCTAGCGCAGGAAGCTGGCGCGGTGGAGATGGTGTTCCGAGATGGAGTGATATCAGCTTGGGTTTACATACTATGCAGTTAGTAACTGCATGCTCACTTCCTGGCTGTAGCAGGCCCCTTTGCATGAGGGGATGCATGCTGCGAGAACTCCCTCTCAGGCTAAGGGTCGGATCTCAAGTTTGCTGGACAGGCCTCTTGACAGCAGTGTCAAGGTTGTCCTAGGAGGCCGACCATTTGTTCTCTTTCCCTTGGTCTGAACTGGTGGGGCTCACTCTGAATTTCAGCGCTGACTGTTGGGTCTTTCCTCAATGAATGCTGGCAACACCCGCATGGACTCGCCTCCTGAATAATAATTTGGGAGGTTCACAAGTCCACTGCATCCACGTTGACTGCTTTTGTTTGATTACTTTTGGAATGGGACTTACTGTTTGTCTCAGCAAGTTCCGGAACAGCAGACTTTTCCCTACCATGCATCAAAGGAAAATATATTTATACTTTTTGGGGCGAAGCCCTCTTATCTTCACGCAAAGGTTGACCAGTCAACACTGAAAAAATAAATTTTTGAGCCACCCAGGCCACTTCAGCTCATCAGAAGGATACCATCTAAAAGCTGATTTTGCGCAGACTCCAGGGTAGCCCTTCAGGCCAGCATCCCCCTCCTGGCCTGTTGAGCTCTGTTGAGATTCCCCCTCAACACACCATTCCAAACTGTATAAATTGTCTCAATTTTAATTTTCTAATGGTTGGTATGCGTTATTGGCCTCTGCTGGTGATTTTGTTGGCTTCCGTCGAGAGCTGAAGGAGAGTCACTGATGGTGGTAGACTTCAGGCTTAACAAGCAGAGCGTACAAGGCAGAAGCACTTAGACACCACCCGTGATGCCAGGCGTGCTCGGAGGCGAGAGAGGACCGCTCGCAGGCATCAGGATGGTTCCGGAGCTTTCAGAACTGCACTGAAGCATTCGTCGTCCATACTGAACATTGCGTTCTTTAACAACATGAACTGATCGATAATAATGCATTCTTGCCGCCTTGAGTTGGCGATGAAATGATATAGACATCGTTGCAAACGTTGCGCTCTCATGGGGGGGAGGAACAGATTTATTTCACACACACACACACA